ACGTCCTGGAACAAATGCTGTTAATAATGGCTGGTCAGGGTGCGGTAGACGTGGCGCACAGATCTCAACGCCACATGACCCCTGTGGGGGCAGGACAGGAAGAAGAGGAGGAGGTAGAGGAGGACATTGGTGCTCAGGAATTATTGAGTGAAATGGGTGGTTTTTCCACTCAGCGGACAGGAGTGGAGGAGCAGGAGCATCTGGTAGAGGAGGAGGAGGAGGAGACAGAGGACCCAGACGCACCGTGGCAGTATGCTGTGGAGATGGAGGCAGGGAGTCCCTCGCATTCCTTGGCACAAATGGCCCATAGCATGCTCCCTTGCTTGCATAGCGACAGCCGAATAATAACCATCAGACAGGCTGTCATGCCCGGCCAGTAGCGTGGCATCGGAGCGCGTGTTTAGTGCGGCAGGAGGTATTGCAACTCCGCGGAGGACACGACTGTCCACCCAAAGTGTGGAGAGACACACGTTTGTGAAAATGAATCAGGCGTGGATTAGTCTGGATTTCAAACCACCAGTTCCTGACACAACTGACTAAATCCGCCATGAATCATGCCCCAAAACATGTGCCACTTTCAGGTCTCCTCACACTGCTGGTGTGTTCCATTTTTTGTCATAGGGTGCTGGCAGATTAGGGGCTCCCATAGCTGCTGCCAGGCCCCTAATCTGCCATGGGCCCCTATACCGCCTCCTCATGCTGCTGCCAAGTCCAGAGTCTGTCATGGGTCCCTGTACGGCCTCCCATTGTCTCCATCGCCACACTCTGCCATGTGCCACTTTCAGGTCTCCTCACACTGCTGGTGTGTTGAATTTTTTGACATAGGGTGCTGGCAGATTACGGGCCTCCCATAGCTGCTGCCAGGCCCCTAATCTGCCATAGGCCCCTATATACCGCCTCCTCATGCTGCTGCCAGGTCCAGAGTCTCTCATGGGTCCCTGTACGGCCTCCCATTGCTGCTGTCTCCATCGCCACACTCTGCCATGTGCCACTTTCAGGTCTCCTCACACACTGCTGGTGTGTTTAATTTTTTTGACATAGGGTGCTGGCAGATTACGGGCCTCCCATAGCTGCTGCCAGGCCCCTAATCTGCCATAGGCCCCTATATACCGCCTCCTCATGCTGCTGCCAAGTCCAGAGTCTGTCATGGGTCCCTGTACGGCCTCCCATTGCTGCTGTCTCCATCGCCACACTCTGCCATGTGCCACTTTCAGGTCTCCTCACACTGCTGGTGTGTTGAATTTTTTGACATAGGGTGCTGGCAGATTACGGGCCTCCTATAGCTGCTGCCAGGCCCCTAATCTGCCATGGGCCCCTATACCGCCTCCTCATGCTGCTGCCAGGTCCAGAGTCTCTCATGGGTCCCTGTACGGCCTCCCATTGCTGCTGTCTCCATCGCCACACTCTGCCATGTGCCACTTTCAGGTCTCCTCACACTGCTGGTGGGTTCCATTTTGTCATAGGGTGCTGACAGATTACGGGCCTCCCATTGCTGCTGCCAGGCCTGTAATCTGCCATGGGCCTCCGTACCGCCTGGTCACGCTGCTGCTGGGTCCACAGTGTGACATGGGTCCCTGTACCGCCTCCCATTGCTCCTACTCTGCCATGTGCCACTTTGAGGTCTCCTCACACTCCTGCTGGTTTCCATTTTGTCATAGGTTGCTGTATGGCCTCCCATTTCTGCTGCCTCCACCGCCACACTGTGGCTCCAAACACTGGTTTTGGCCCCGTGACTGCCCAAATGTGTGAAGTGTGCGGTGATTCTAAGATCGACGGCACTTATCTGCATGTCATACTGACTGACAGTATTATTTCTCTTCCCAGCAGACTCCAAGGGCATTTAAATTAAAGGTACAGTGTTCTGCACTAATATTAAGTCTCTCTGAAGCCTAGAAACACCCTTTTTTAAGTTAAATTCACAGCGAATATATTCGACTCGAATCGAATATTTTCCACGAATTCGCCGAATCAGTCGAATCGAATTTTTGAATACTTCGCTCATCTCTAGTCATCAGTACAAAATGAGGGGTAAATCTTCCCAATGGGGACAAAGAGAGCAATAAAAATTTGACAGATGATCTAACCCTTTCCTGCACTATTCAATGCTAAAAAATATTTTTTGAATAAAGGTACATTTTAAAGTATATATTAACCAGCATATAGTAACTTTACAAGAAGACCTAGTTAAAATAGAGGAGTGAGCTATATGGCCAATGAAGTTCAACTTTGAAAAAGATTAGGTTGCACTTAGGAGCTAAAAATATGAATGATCGTTCCTCACTAGGGGGAGAAGCTCTGGGGGAATCCAGGATGGAAAAAGATCTGGGGGTCCTAGTAGATGACAGACGCAGCAATAGCATGCATTGCCAAGCTGCAACAAGGAAGGCTAGCAGACTTTTATCATGCATTAAAAAGGGTAGTTACTCAAGAGATAAAACTATAATTCTAACACTTTACAAAACTCTGGTTTGGCTACATCTCAAGTATGCCATCTAGTTTTGGTCACCAATCCTCAGGAAGGATTCCAGAGATGGGCAACAAAACCAATAGGAGAGCTGGAGGACCTCAGTTATGATGAGCAAGTACAAAAATGATACTAACCAACCTTATCTACATAGACTCTCAGATATTTAGAATCCAAGTAGCCTTGATTCATGATAATACAAAAACATCTGTGTGTATAGATACAGTGCCTTGAAAAAGTATTCATACCCCTTGACATTTTCCACATTTTGTCATGTTACAACCAAAAACGTAAATGTATTTTTTGGGCATTTTATGTGATAGACCAACACAAAGTGCCACATACTTGCGAAGTGGAAAGAAAATGATAAATGGTTTTCAAAATTTCTTACAAATAAAATATTGGAAAAGTGTGACGTGCATTCGTATGCAGCCCTCTTTACTCTGATACCACTAACTAAAATCTAGTGAAACCAATTGCCTTCAAAAGTCACCGAATTAATAAATAGAGTCCACCTGTGTGTAATTTAATCTCAGTATAAATACAGCTGTTCTGTGAAGCCCTCAGAGGTTTGTTAGAGAACATTAGTGAACAAACAGCATCATGAAGGCCAAGTAACACACCAGGTTAGGGATAAAATTGTGGAGTAGTTTAACGAAGGTTGAGTTATAAAAAAAATATCCCAAGCTTTGAACATCTCCCAGAGCATTGTTCAGTCCATCACCTGAAAATGGAAAGGGTATGGCACAACTGCAAACCTATGGCCATCCAGCTAAACTGCATTTAAAAGAAAAAGAGAGCGCAACAACCTTGCGCATTACCTCAATAAACTGTGATTGTATTAAAATGAGATACATACTCACAAACAAAGAAGTAAAACAAGCATATAAGATCCTCAAAGGAACATTAAAGTACAAAACCAGTGTGAGTCACATCAAGAGGGGAGACTCTCAAAGTTCGGCAGACGCGGTTCGAAGGAGGTCCCTTCTTCCTCAGAGCACGGGGGACCCCCTTTGAAACGCGTCAGTAAAACTTTGAGAGTCTCCCCTCTTCATGAGACTCGCACTGGTTTTGTAATTCAAATGTTCCTTTGAGGATCTTATATGCTTGTTTTACTTCTTTGTTTGTGAGTATGTATCTCATTTTAATAAAATCACAGCTTATTGATGTAATGTGCAAGATTGATGCGCTCTCTTTTTCTTTTACTTTGCAGTACTGGTCAGGCTTCCCCAGCCTTGTTAAGAGCTGCACAACCTTTGATCCATTGGTGGACAAACTTCCACAAGTGGTCTTCCCACCTATCCACCCTTCATCTGGGTCCCTGAGTGCAGGCGGTGTTGTTTCTGCATCCACCTAAACTGACAGACCAAGCAAGGAGAGCATTAATCAGAAAAGCAGCCAAGAGGTCCATGATAACTCTGGAGGAGCTGCAGAGATCCACAGCTCAGGTGGAAGAATCTGTCCACTGGACAACAATTAGTCATATACTCCACAAATCTGGCCTTTATAGTCGAGTGGCAAGAAGAAAGATATGATGAAAGAAAGCCATAAGAAGACCCATTTGCAGTTTGTGAGAGCCATGTGGGGGACACAGCAAACATGTGGAAGAAGCTGCTCTGGTCCGATGAGACCAAAATGGAACTTTTTGGCCTAAAAGCAAAACACTATGTGTGGCAGAAAACTAACATTGCACATCACCCTGAACACACCATCCCCATTGTGAAACATGGTGGTGGCAGCATCATGTTGTAGGGATGCTTTTCTTCAGCAGGGACAGGGAAGCTGGTCAGAGTAGATGGGAAGATGGATGGAGCCAAATACAGAGCAATCTTAGAAGAAAACCTGTTAGAGTCTGCAAAAAACGTGAGACTGGGGAGGAGGTTCATGTTCGAGCAGGACAATGAATCTAAACATACAGCCAGAGCTACAATGGAATAGTTTAGATCAAAGCATATTCATGAGTTAGAATGGCCCAATCAAAGTCCAGACCTAAATCCAAAAAAGAATCTGTGGCAAGACTTGAAAACTACTGTTCACAGACGCTCTCCATCCAATCTGACAGATCTTGATCTATTTTGCAAGAAGAAGAATGGGCAAAAATTTCACTCTCTAGATGTGCAAAGCTGGTCGAGACATACCCAAAAAGACTTGTAGCTGTAATTTCCTGTAAAAAGGAAAGCTGGTGGTGTCTGTTTCTGTGTGAGAAGTGATCTCAGAGCGAGTATGAAAGAGGACCTAGTTGATGGAGAGTGTGATGAGGCTGAAGTATTATAGGTGGAGCTAAAAATGGGGGTGTATACTACAAAGGTAATCGTTGGAGTTTGTTATAGGCCACCAGTGTTAATGAGGAGGTGGAGACTCAACTCCTTGCACAGATAGAAAGGGCTGCAAGGGCTGGAACAGTGATAATAATGGGGATTTTAACTACCTGGAAATTGCCTGGAGTAATGGTACTGCAGGAACAGTTAAAGGGCAAAAATGTATAAACCTACTACAGGACAATTTTATGGTACAGTTAACAGAGGCCCCAACAAGAAATGATGTTGTGCTGGACCTGGTAATCTCAAACCATGCAGAGCTTATTACTAATGTCCATATAAAAGAATATCTGGGTAGCAGTGACCATAACATTCATTTATTGTTAGCTGTAAACAACAAGCACACATAGGAAAAATTAAAAGCGCTCAAATTTAAGAGAGCTGCTCTTCAAGACTTAGACTGGGAGGGAATATTGGCAGTGATGAACACAACACAGAAATGAGAGTTCTTCAAAAAGACTGTATGTGAACACACTGCAAAATATATTCCCATGGGCAACAAGTTTAAAAGGCTAAAAATCAAACCTATGTGGGTTACGGTCAAAGTTAAAAAAGCTATAATAAAAGAGCTTTTATTAAATATAAAAATGAAGGAACACTATCATCGTTTAAACATTACAAAGAATATAACAGAACATGTAAAAAGGAAATCAAGGCTGCAAAACTTGAAAAGGAACGGCAGGTTGCAAAAGATAGCAGGACAAACCCCCAAAAAGTCTATTAATATATATTAATAGTAAAAAGGTAATTTCCAATTATATAGGCCTTTTACAAAATAATCTAGAGTGAGTGACTGGGGACAAAGAGAAGGCAAATTTATTAAATACCTTCTTCCACTCTGTATATACATAGGAGCATAGGGGAGCTCTTGTCCATAATGGGCATGGTATTGACACAGCTCCAGATGATCCACACTGGCTCTCAACTGATATGGTCTGTAAATATTTAGACAGAATATAGGTGAATAAAGCACCTGGACCAGATGGTATACACCCGTAGGTCCTTAGAGAATTGAGCTCTGTCATTTCAAAGCCATTGTTTCTAATTTTTAGGGACTGGCATAGTACCACTGTATTGACGTAAGGCCAATGTGGTGCCTATATATTAAAAAGGTTTCAAAATCTTTACCAAGTAATTATAGACCTGTTAACATCAATTAACATCAATAGTTGAGAAGATACTGGAAAGTGTAACAGCTTGCCCACCTTCCTATAGCAAAAATACTGCTACTGTGCAGCAGGGCTGCGCAAAATCACGTATATATACATAATTTAGCATTTCCGGGTAGGGGGCGCACACGTGGCACCATTGGCAGCTTCAGCTGTCAATCACTGGGTCCTGGCCGGTGATTCCCCACTGGCACCTGGCAATTACCAAGTATCACTGACAGGGGAGAGGTCTGTATGTAAACAATACAAATCTCTCCCCTGTCAGCTCCTGCACACTGCTTTGAATTGCTCTGCATGTAGCATGCTTACACTGCAAAAGACACACACAGCACACAGTAAAACAGCACACAGTTAACCCTTTGATGGTAACCCCATTCTGCCCAGTGTCACTAGTTCAGTGTCAGTGCTTTTTATTAGCACTAATCACTGTACTAGTGTCACTGGGGAGGTCAGTGACAGTTAGTCAGTCCCCCCCCCCCCCCCCCCCCCAGTGTCAGAATGCCTGCTGCAGTCCCACTATAAGTCACTGATTACTCGGCATTACTAGTATAAAAAAAAATTCCAGTATATATACTGCCATTTGTAGCTATAACTTTCATGGAAACCAATTAATTTACACGTATTGGGATTTTTTTTTACCAAAGACATGTTGCAGAATACATCTTGGTCTACATTTTTGACAAAATTTGATTTTTAAAATTTTTTTACTGGACATCTTTTAATAGTAAAAAGTAAAAAAATGTTTTTTTTTTCTCGAAATTGTCAGGTTTTTTTGCTTATAGTGCAAAAAATAAAAAACACAGAGGTGATCAAATGCCACCAAAAGAAAACTCCATTTGTGGGAAACAAAGGACATAAATTCATTTAGGTGCAGTGTTGTATGACCGCGCAATTGTCAGTTAAAGTAATGCAGCGCCGAATCAA